GAGGGCTGGGCGAGGCGGGAGGGGTGGTGGGGTCCAGGAGGGCTCGCGCCCCCCCGAGCTCGGGCGGGTGGTAGGCAAGAGGGCTCGGGCGCCGGGTGGGCTCGGAGGGACGGTCGGACAAAGAGAGGATCTTCGTGGCGGGAGGGCTCGAGAGGGGTCGGAAGGGCCTCCGGGAGGGTTCGCAAAAAAAGAATGGCGCGGCGCTTCCGAGAGTGCCCGCCACGAGAGGGTTAGAGGGGTCGGAGGGGTTTAGAGGGCTGGAGGGCTGCAGGCCCTGCTGCCCGCCCATGGACGCGGGTCAACGGCGACGGCGCCCGTGATCGAGGGACCGGCGACGGCGAATGAGCTGGTCTCTGCGCCGCACGACTTCACCCACGTTCGCGACTGTGGCCATCCAACAGTCTGCCGGCGCGGCGGGCGCATTCGAATGCGCCGGCCGCGCCGGCAGACTGCCAGTGCTATCCGGGCGGGCCTGCTGCGGCAGGGCGCTGCAACGCCGCCGCCTCGCCGCCACAGCAGCGCCGCCCCCGCATGGCTGCCGCCAGCAATGTCGCCGCCAGCCGCCGCCCCCAGCCGCCGCCGCCAGCTGCCGCCAGCACTGCAGCGACAGCTCTCTCTGCTGCCCAGGCGCCGCCGCGGCCACGAGTGTCACCGCCACGAGTGCCGCCGCCGTCAGCGTCGCCATGGCCGCTGCCGCCGCCAGGCGGGCGAGCGAGGAGCTCCATATGAGTGTGTGTGTCTGGAGGCTGTGTGGCGCTTCCGTTTTTTAGCGGAGAAACCCCAGGTATTTCGACCAAACGCGCTTCGTGTTTGCCTTGAGAAGCGCAGCGACGAGTCCGTAAGGAGCGGCCCCAGCTTGCTGGGTGCGGCGCCGCCGCGCGCCGTATCGAGAGACTCTGTCGGGGCAGGTTAAAATAGCGCCGCAGGATCCCCGGGCCCCGTCGGCGTGCGCGTCGGCGCGCACAGACCACGGAAACGCCACTTCCGTATGCCTGCAGGGCATCTTTAACCGAGCCCTCCGAGCCCTCCACACCCCTCCACACCCCTCCACACCCCTCCGACCCCTCCGACCCCTCCGACCCCTCCGACCCCTCCGACCCCTCCGACCCCTCCGACCCCTCCTCCACACCCCTCCGCGAGCCCTCCGAGCCCCCCGAGCCCTCCGACCCCTCCGACCCCTCCGACCCCTCCGAGCCCTCCGAGCCCTCCGAGCCCGGCTCGGTGGCTCGCCCCTCCGAGCCCTCCGGGCACTCCATCCCTCATGAGCCCTCCCGAGCCCTCCCGAGCCCTCCAGCGCCACCCTCGTGCCTCTCTGCCCTCCGAGCCCTCCGAGCCCTCCGAGCTCTCCACCCCTCCCGAGCCCCACCCCTCGCGCTAGGGACCCTCTTGCCGGACGACACCCTCCGAGCCCTCCAAGCCCCCCGAGCCCTCCAGACCCCTCCATCCGCACAGCCCCTCCGGCCCCTCTAGCCCCCTCCGACCCCTCCAGCCCTCTCTAGCCCACTGGACCCCTCCCACGCCTCGCTTTTGGCCAGCCCTCCAAGCCCCCACCCCTCCTGGGCCCTGCCGCCTGACACCTCTATCGGTGGAGGGCTTTAGGTCACGGTCCACACTCCCGCCCTCCCGACCCCTCCACACCCCTACAGCGGCACCCCTACCCCTCCCGCCGTTTTAGGGCCTCCTGACCCGCACTCTTTTCACTTTCTGAGAGAGAGAGGCTTGAGAGAGAGATTTTAAGCAATACCAAACAAATCCCATCCCTCTCTCGCCATCGCCTGCAGGTGCAGGGAAATGCGAAACGAAAATTGATGGGCTTGCCCATCCCGGAGTGGTTCGATCCCACATGAATCCGAGACGGTGATGGGGGAGTCTCGGCGGTCTCAGGCCCAGTGAGGTAGTGCGCCTGACCATCCTGGATCCTGCTGAACAAGCTCCTCTTGTAGCTCGATCGGTCACACCGCCATCGCCGTTGGGGAGAGAGGGGACGACACTGCTTCGGCAGCGTGCACCTCGATCCTGTACCGTGTTTGTTATGACCCCCCCCAATGAACATACCAGTGAGGGAGGGCGAGACGATCGAGGGGTCCCGTACCACGCGGAATCGGCCCTATCCAGTGCTCAAGTGCTCAAGTGCTCAACAAATCTAACACTCACACGTCATTTGGGGCCTGGAGCCCTGTTCACGCGCGCGCGAGACGTGCAGACAGGGTTGCCAGGTGAGAGCGAATGGCGCGGTTCACGCCTCGCACAACAGAGAGAGAGATGCGCTCTGCATGGTAAGGTAAGGTAAGGTAAACGGCGACCTGTTCCTTTTTACCCATCTTCACACACAGTAGTAGAGAGCTGTCCGTTTTTATTTATTTATTTACTAAACAGTGATACTCCATGTCGTCATCCCTGGTCCTCTCCAGCTCGGCATCCGCTGCCTGCACCACCGCAGACGCGACCGCATCGTCCACCACTCCGATGCACACCTTTGTTCGCCGACAGCCCGCCTCTGGCGCACGCCATCGGCTCAGCGCCTCGGCGACCACCTCTGCCGCCGCCGCGGCTGGCGCGCCGCGAGCGCCTGCGCCGAGGAGCGGGACCGCGATCGAGTGTGCGCCGCGGGACGTTGCCAGCCGCAGTGCGTTGGCGTAGGCGGAGAGGAGGAGCGGGCGCCACTGCGGCGAGGCGTAGAAGGGCGGCACGCAGTGGATGATCTCGTCGTAGCAGTCGGAGAGCTCGCCGTGAGCCGCCGTCGCCACGGCCTGGCCTGTCGGGCAGCGGATGTCGTCGCCGACTACGACCGGCAGCGCGGAGAGCGCCGCCGCCAGCAGCGACGCGCCGGACGAGTCGTCTGCGCTCGAGTCGCCGCCGCGGGCGCCGTGCACAATGCCATCGACAGCCTGCGGCGGGTACAGCGCCGTGGTTCCTGGCGCCAGCCTGTCTGCGCACTCGCCCGGCGTGAAGCGCGTGCCCTCGAGCCTTTCGTTGGCCGGGTTGACCAAGGCGCTGCAGCCGGCGTGGGGCGGGAACGTGACGATGCATGGCGTCAGATGAAGCTCAACGTCGATGCCCGGGACTGAGCGCCACGACGCAATGCGCGCCACCGGGCTGAGCCGGTGCATCACGCACGATCTCGCCGGACAGCACCGAAGCGTCTCTCTGCTTGTACTCTACCTCCCGGTCCGACCGACCCGGGCTCCAGCCCGCAGTCGCCTCAGATTTCTTTTTCTCGACCTTCAGGGTCTCGTGGTGATTTGGCTCTCGCGATCTTCGGTCGTAATCCTTTCTCTCTCGCGGCGGCCCCTCAAAACCGGGTCAAAAAGAAAGTGCCGGCCGGCCTTTCGGGAGAGCGACGAGACAGAGGAGGAGGCGACAGGAGAGCGAACCAACCCACCCTTTCCCTGGGCTCACAAGCTGAAGATGTTCACGGGCCCCCCCCTTTAGCTGTACTCGTCTAGGCAGGGGTTGAGAGAGAACGACGAGAGTGGGACGACCGCGAGGTGGCATGAAGCTCGCTGCGATAATTAGCGAGAAACTGCGAAGAGAGATAGGTAGGAAGTGGTAGACGCCCAAGGGTGGGCGACGGCCACCACACTCCTCTCCTTAAAATCCCTGTGTGGCGGCGTGCCGTCCTCCCATCCCTCCCTTGCCGTGTCGTTTTCTTTCTTCTTTCTGTACCCAGCGGAGGCAGCCACATCTCCGGCGACCCCGCCCGGCTGAATAGGAATTCTCACTTTGGGACACGGGTGGTGGGGTCCCGGGGGGTGGTTGGGCACGCTGGCTGTTGCGCAAAACCAGATGAAATAATACGAGTGTGAGATCGCGATCCCGATTCTGAGATTCGGTTCCGCTCACCTCTACGTTTTTATAACCGTCCGTCATCAGCGCCGAAGCTCGCACCACTCCGCCGCCCTCCGATTGACTCTAGTCCCTCATCGCCGAAAGCGACCTTCAAAAATTCAACCACTGAGCCCGCCGTCTGTTCTCTTCTCTGCGATTGGCGCCATCAATTTCTCTGCCGGGTGTGTCAACGGCGGAATGGCCACGCTTTACGTTGTCGGCGCCGTCGCCTATTGCGCCTTGGACGGATCGACGGACTTCGCGCGGCGCTGGGCCATCATTCCCGCCCTTGGCGCCGTTCCGTTTGTGGCCCACGACGCCGCCTTCCTGCTAATCGACGTCAGCGACGGACCCTTCCCAATCCCTCTGTCGGTGCTGTTCCGCCCTTTGGGCTTCGGCTTTGTCAACGCGGCTTCCGCTCGCGCCACTGGTGGTGTCACAACCTACATGATGACGGCTCACCTGCACAAGATCGCCAGTGGGATCGGCAGCTGCCAGCACAAGAATCAAGATCACCAGTGGGTGTGTATTCTCGTATCACTGGCTCCGAGTAGAAAGAGAAAGAAAACATGTTACCCGTGTTTACTAGCTCCGAGTAGAGGGGGCGTTCCGCCGCTAGGGGACACCCAAAGCGCAGAACCAACCCTCGGAGACCTGTACGGCCCTTTCCCTGCGAACGCGCACCCCCCCACCCCCAGGGCTAGGGCTCTCTAGCCCCCGTCACCCGATATCGATCATCCGGCCCGCGGTGCGCTTCTTAGCTCCCCGGCCCTGGATGTGAGGTTGATGACTGCACTCCAAGTGCTCCAAGTGCAAAGTCGCCGACGAGTCGGTCCGCGTGCCTCTCCCGTGTCGCGCATCGTTCTCACCCAAGCTCCAAGCATCCATAAACTCACTTACACTTTGGCCTCACTATAAAGCGATGCCTGAATGCTTTATCCTCGGATGCCTGGGCCCTCTACATACACACACATGCGATGCAGCTCGTGCAGGGGCCCGGGGCTCCAGCGTCCAGGGGTCGTGGGACAAAATTCGGAAACTGCACCATGCATAATTTTCACTTGAGGCAATTCAAAATACAAAAACCAACGAACCGAACATTGCTCTCCGGAGCGCCGGTGATTACTGGATCCTTGCGCTCGGCTTCTCACGGATATGGCGCGCGCCTACGGCTACGCCCTGTGCTGCGCAATCGCCGCCCGGAGCGCCGCCTCGTTGGCCCCGGACACCTCGCCGAGCTTGGAGCCGCGCCGGTAAAACTGGAAAGTGGGCATGGCGCGGACGCCGCACATCTGCGCCACGTCCTGGGCCTCGTCCACGTCGACCTTCACGAAATCCACCTCCGGCATCTCCTGCGCCAAGCTCGCGAAGACGGGCGCGATCCGCCGGCAAGGCCCGCACCAGGACGCGGTGAAGTCGACCACCACGAGCCGCTCGCCGGCCGCCGACATGGCCCGCGCCCAAGCGGCCAGGTCTGCAAGCTGCGTTACGCCGCGAGGCCGCGCCTAGTGTTGGGTTTAGGGTTGGGTTAGGGTTAGAGTTAGAGTTAGTCACGCCGCGAGGCCGCGCCTCGTCGGCGACCGCCGCGGAGAGCGCCTCGTCGAGCAGCGCCTTGCCCACGTGCAGCGCCTGCTCGCAGATGCAGTCACGCCTCCACCTCTCCAGCGGCGCCTTGGACCCCGCGGACCGCCTCGCCTCCGGCAGGACTCGTAATCTCGGCTATACCTCGGCTACATCTCGGCTACATCTCGGCTACATCTCGGCGAGATCTCGGCCTCGAGGTCGTCTCCGCGCAGGACGAGCTCAGCCCCCTGCTCTCCCTGCTGGCGCACGAAGCCGAGGCCGCGCAGGAGCGCCTAGGGGACGTGTCGGGGAAGGGTAGAGGGACACGTCATGGACACGTCCCTCCCGAGGCCTCGCAGCAGCAGCGCCTCGCCGCCAGTACGGCCGAGCAGCTTCTGCTGCAGCGCCGCGTTGGTCAGGCGCAGGCGGCGGTACTTAGTCTCGCCCGGGTGGGACAGGATGTTGCTCACGACCTTGACCGCAGTCGCGAGGGCCTCGCGATGCCCCTCAAGCAGACCGACCGCACTCGCAACGGCGGTCAGATGCGAGGCGGGCTGTGCTGCGGTGGCGGTGGCGGTGGCGGTGGCGGTGGCGGTGGCGGTGGCGGAATCGCGCGGCGCAACGACGATCCCGGCCAGCGTGCCGTCGGCAAAGGAGCAGTCGACGAGCTCTGCTCCGTCCGGAACCTGCGCGGGTCGTGCCGTGGACACGTCACCGACATATCCAGGGGCATATCCAGGGGCATATCCCGGGGCATATCCCGGGGCATATCCCGGGGCATATCCAGGGGCATATCCAGGGGCATATCCAGGGGCATATCCAGGGGCATATCCAGGGGCATATCCAGGGGCATATCCAGGGGCATATCCAGGGACATGCCGAGGGCAAGCTCTGCGCCTCAAAGTCGAACGGCGCGGCGGAGGTGGAGTCGGCGTCCACGCCGGTGAAGGTGATGCTCCGGCCGCTGCTCAGCGAGAGGCTCACCTTGGCGGCGAGGTAGCCGATCGTCGAGGCGGCGCCCGAGACGCGAGTGATCCGCTCCCCCGGCCGCAGACCCTCCCACCGCCCCTCCCGCTGCAGCAGCCCGGCGTCGTCGCCGAGCGCCATCCGGTCCTGCGAGTTCTCGAGACAGGCGCCGGCCCGCCCTCCCCCTTCGAACTCGAGTACGAGCCCGTGCACCACCTGAGCAGGACGGGTCCGGGACGCGTCGCGGACATGCCCCTCAGGCTCGAGCAGACACCACAGCCCGCGCCACCGAGCCGACAGCGCCGCACACGCGCACCACCGCCCCGCCGGCCGGCGAGCCCTCCCCGCCGCCCTCGCCGCCGGGGGCCGCCGCCTCGCCGAGCTCGCCCCGCCTCCGCCGCCACTCGACCGCCCCGGTCTGCCGCCCCTTCTTCTCCGCCTCGGAGAGCGACGCCCTCGAGCGGTCGACGTCCAGCCCCGCCAGCTGCTGCTGCTCGAGGCGAGCCCGCTCCGCGAGGTCGGCCCTCGCCGGTCCGGGCAGCAGCGCCTGCCTCGACGCGTTGAGCGACGCGACGGTGACCTCGAGCCAGCCCTCGGGCACCTGCGAGGAGCATGCCACGGACACGTCACGGGCATGACACAGACACGTCCAGCACAGCCGGTGGCCCGGCAGCCGATACAGCCGAGATGCAGCCGAGGTGACAGCCGAGGTGCAGCCGAGATGCAGCCGAGGTGACAGCGGAGGTGACAGCGGAGGCTGTGATGCGGGCGAGGTGCAGCCGAGGTGACAGCGGAGGTGACAGCGGAGGCTGTGATGCGGGCGAGGTGCAGCCGAGGTGACAGCGGAGGTGACAGCGGAGGCTGTGATGCGGGCGAGGTGCAGCCGAGGTGACAGCGGAGGTGACAGCGGAGGCTGTGATGCGGGCGAGGTGCAGCCGAGGTGACAGCGGAGGTGACAGCGGAGGCTGTGATGCGGGCGAGGTGCAGCCGAGGTGACAGCGGAGGTGACAGCGGAGGCTGTGATGCGGGCGAGGTGCAGCCGAGGTGACAGCGGAGGTGACAGCGGAGGCTGTGATGCGGGCGAGGTGCAGCCGAGGTGACAGCGGAGGTGACAGCGGAGGCTGTGATGCGGGCGAGGCACCGAGTTGCGCCGCGCGAGCGTCTTGCTCCACGAGGCCTGTTCACAGCAGGAGGTGTGAAGAGACGCTGTTCACAGCCGGGCGAGCGTCTTGCTCCACGAGGCCGAGTAGCGGCGCGCGACGTCGACGCACTCGTGGGCCCCGAAGGAGAAGACGTACGAGAGCTTCTTGCCCCAGCCGCGCTCGTAGAGGAGGGGCGCGTCGCAAGCCTGCTCGCACGGGAGCCTCGGAGGTGTGTCGGGGGTGCGTCGGAGGTGCCCTGAGGTGCGCCGCAAGTGCTCTCGGAGGCGTGTCGGAGGCGTGTCGGAGGCGTGTCGGAGGCGTGTCGGAGGCGTGTCGGAGGCGTGTCGGAGGATGTGGGGGTGTGTCGCGCCTGCTCGCACGGGTCGGCGTGGAGCCAGCAGCGGCGCAGGGGTGACCACACCTCGGTCCACACCTGCGGGCGCGAGGGTGTGGGTTCCCCTTTTTCGAGGGCTGGCGTGCAGGGCTGCTGCCGGCCGCGGTGAGCTCTCACGTGGTCTGTGACGTCGAGCACCCAGCGGGCCCGGAAGCCGACCGCCATGCAGCAGAGGGTGAAGGCGTTCGCCCACTCGCCGCACCTCCCCTTGCGCGTCTGCAGTAGCTTGGCGGGGTGGTTGTACCGCGGGAAGCGAGTCACGTGCCCGGTCGGGCCGCGGTACAGCTCGACGCGGCCAGCGCCCCACGCCTTCTCCTCGCCCGTCGGCTCTCCCATCCCGATGGGCTCCGTGGGCTGGCCGGTCAGCTCGCACTCGGGCGCGTTGACCCACGTGAAGAAGTCCCGCTTGAACCACCGCAGAAGCTCCTTGAGCTCCGCTTCGTCCGGCCCGCCTCCCGTCGGCCCTCCAGGCGGCGGGCCTGCCTCCTCGGCGGTGAGGAGGGCGCGGAAGTCGCTCTGGTTGGCCTTGACGAGCTGCAGCAGCGCGGGCGAGGAGAGGGAGAGCTGCTGCAGCATCGGAGCCAGCTGCGTCGGGTCCGACCGCGCCGCGGATGCGACCGCCGTCAGCGCCGGCTCGGCTCGCATCTGGCGCAGCGCAGCGCTCGCCTCAGCGCTCGCCTCCGGGGGCTGCCCAGAGCCGGAGCCCTTCCTCCGAGCCTCCTCGCAGATCGCCGCCCACGGGATGAGACTCCTCGCCTGCTGCTGCAGCGCCGGGTCCTCGTATGCGGACGCCGTCTGGAAGCCCGACCGGAGGCGGCTCTGCATCTCAGCGCACGCCTGCTGGCGGCGCAGCTCCTCGCCAATCGTCTCCTGCGGCTGCGGCAGCGGCTGCGGCTGCGATGGCGCGCACCGGTCGAGCATCACCCACGTGCCGGGGAGGAGGTTGACGCTTACCGCTCCCAGGTCGGCGTCGTCCCTGAGCACGCCCGGGCCGAGGCCAGTGATGCGCTGCTCCTCCGGAGGCACGCCGGTGAGAGAGAAGATCTGAACGCGGAGTGTGGACACGCTCTCGCTCGGGTCGAGCTCCACGCGGTGCGTCTCCTCTTTGAACGCGATCGTGATGGGGATGGTCGGCATGGCTGTGCGATCGATCGCCCGGTGGTGCGGCGCGCGCCGCGCCGACGCCCAGACGCTTCACAGACTTCACGTAAACGCACAACGCCGGACTTCACATAAACGCACCGGAAATCAGTGACAGTCAGTCGAAAAGAAAGAATCGCGGTGGAGCTATGTCGCGCAAACGCAGCCGCGACGCGGAGCCCAAGGCGCCGGCCGCACCGGCCTCGCCGGCCGCGCCGGTCATCCGGCTGACGGCAGACAGCGAGCAGCGCCTCGCGCCTCTTCAGCTGTACGCCGACATGTGGCGCAGCGGCGAGCTCTGCGATGTTGTGCTCTCGGCCGAGAATGAGAAGATTCGAGCCCACCGCCTGATTCTCGCGGGTGGCTCCTCGTACATGCGCTCGTGCTTCAGCTCCGGCATGCGCGACGGTGAGGCGGCCGTGCTGACTCTGCAAGGCGTCACGGCCTGCAGCCTTCGCTGTCTCCTCGACTTTCTCTACCTTGGAGAGTGCGAGGCGACGCCGTCCTCGATAGTGCCGCTGATGCACGCCGCCTCGCTAATGGAAGTGCGCCCGCTGCTCCAGCTCGCGGCCGACTTCCTGGGCAAGGACGGCCTGCTTCCCGAGTCGTACCTCAACATCATCGAGCTGTGTGACACGCTCGACCGCCCAGAGACTGCGGGCCTGCGCGCCGCGTGCCTCGCGTTTGTGAGCGAGCACCTGGAGGCGCTCGCGGCTGAGGAGCAGTGGCGCCGTCTGCCAAGGCCGTGGCTGCGCGCCCTCCTCGAGAGCGAGGCGATCACGCTCCCCGAGCTCTGCGTCTTTCAGAGCGCAATCGCATGGCTGGAGGCGCAGCCGCAGCCGCAGCGCGACGGAGAGGCGTGCGCCGAGCTGCTCGGCATCGTGCGGTACGCGACAATCCCCGCCGACACACTCGTCGACGCCGTCGAGCCGCGCATCGAGAGCCTCGGCCACGCCGGCCTCGCGCAGCGCCTGCTGCACGCCGCCTTTCGCTTCAGCTCCCTCTCGCCTGCAAGACAGATGGGCGAGGAGCGCTCCGCCGAGTTCTGCCGCCGCGAAGGCCAGGTCGGCGACCTCGCATGGCGGCTTCTGAATACACCTTCCGACGACGAAGCGTCCGTTCTCGACGGAAATGTGCTGACTGTGGCCGCAGACTCCGATGAGCAAGGTGTCTCCTTACACCAGGTGAGCAGCGCATGCGTCACGCTGCGATCGGAGCTCACGTGGTCCGTGCTCTTGGCGGTGAAGGAAGGCTGTCCCGCGCTTGATTGCCACGACATGCTCTTCGTGAGCTTTGGAACGGGCGAGCCGGTTGCGGGATGGATCAACCACCGCAGTCTTGCGGCGTGTGAGGAGGCATGGGCTTCTGTGGACGGCTACGAGGACCACGGCTCGGGCGCAAACCGGGACCGCAGCTTCGAGGTCACACTCTACGCGCGCCTGACGCGGATCTCTGGAAGCGAGGCTGCCGCTGAAGTCTGGCTTGAGGACCAGGCCGGCCAAAAGCACGAGGTCTCGGACAGCATCTTGGACTCTAAATTCCCGGCAGGGGCTCCTTGCCGCCTCGTGCTTGGACTGACCTACGGTCCTGCGGAGGCGGTGTTGCTGGATGTCAAGGCCCGCTGAGCTGTAAACTCGTGCTGCATCTGAGCTGCGCACCAGGCTCTCCCCGTCCTGCATTGATGCCGTCCTTCTTTTTCTCTGCGTGTCTCTCCATGTTCTCGCCCCACGCTGTGTCGTTGCGGTGTGTGTCGTTCGGGTTGCCAAAAGTCGCGAAAAGAAGAAAAACCCGGACACTGGCCGCGATGTCCTCGCCCCCGAATAGGCTACACCGCTGTGGGCGGACAGGCACATTATCGACGGCGATTTTGCCGCGATGTCCTCGCCGGACGCCTCTGCCGTCTTGATCGGCGACATCGGCGGAACAAACATCCGACTGGTCCTCGTGCCAGATGCTCTGTGTGGCTCGCGGCCGCGTCCTCTGCACAGCGTGCGTTACCAAACAGCCGAGTTTGCGCACCTGCGCGACGCGCTGGCGCGCTTCGTCGCCGAGCTCCCGGCCGGACTGGCGCGGGTGACGGCGGCCGCGCTCTCAGTGTGCGGGCCTGTGGTGGAGGGCAGTGCGATTTGCATGGCAGAGTCCATGGGCGCCTCTGGGTGGCGGCTGGACGAGGCCGACCTCGCCTCCTCCCTCGGCGTCGGTCCCTGCCGGCTGCGGCTACTGAACGACTTTGTCGCGGTCGGCCTGGCGCTCGCAGCCGTTCCGGCGGCCGAGCGCGTGACTGTGCACGCGGGGTCGCCGCTGCCCGGACGGCCGGTGGCGTGCCTAGGCCCTGGCACCGGCCTCGGCTCAGTGTGCCTCGCGTGGCCAGACGGCGACGGCGCCCCACTCGTGCTTCCCTCCGAGTGCGGCGAGGCAGACTTTGCAGCTCGCTCTGCGGCGGAGTGGGCGCTCCGCTCGCACATCGCCGGCAAATTGGGCGTGCGGCACGTCAAGGCACGCGCAGCAGCACTCGCATCAAACACACACACACACACACACACACACACACACACACACACACACACACGCGCACTCGCCACCACCAGCCGCAGCTCGCCGAACGTCGCAGGCGGAGCACGTCGTCTCCGGCCTCGGCTTGCGCCGGATCTACGACTTTCTGCGCAGCGACGCGGCCGATGCGGCGGCGCCAAACGGCGCGGCGGAAACCAGCGGAACGGCGGCTGCGCACGAGGTGGAGGCTGCGGTGCGGTCGGCAGCGGATCCGTCGGCCGCCATCGCCAGCCGCTGCACTCCGGGCGAGCCGGGCGCGGACGCGACGTGTGTTGCGGCGATGGAGATGCTGATCAGCGCGCTCGGCGCCGAGGCTGCGAACGCCGCCCTCCGCTTCCAGGCGCACGGCGGCGTCTTCCTCGCCGGCGGGGTCACCGCCAAGCTCGCGGCGCGGCTGGGCGCCGGCAGCGCACTGCGCGACGCGTACCTGGGCAAGGGCCGGTCCGTCGCCGCGTACGAGGGCTGCCCCCTCTACCTCGTCACCAGGGAGGGGGACGAGCTCGCGCTCGACGGCGCGTGGGAGTGTGCGCGGCGGGCCTTCCAGCCCGTGCCTCGCCCGCCGCCCGCCTCCCGCGGAGTACCGCTCGAGGTGTGCGTGGACTGCGTGGCGTCGGCGGTGGCGGCGGAGAGGGGGGGCGCCTCCCGCCTCGAGCTCTGCGCGAACCTGCTCGAGGGAGGGACGACGCCGTCGGTGGGCCTGCTGCGCGTCGTGCTGCGCACGTGCTCCCTGCCGGTGCACGCGATGGTGCGGCCGCGCGGCGGCGACTTTCTGTACAGCGAGGCGGAGCTCGAGGTGATGCGCGAGGAGATCCGCGAGATCAAGCGCGCCGGCGCGGCCGGCGTCGTCCTCGGCGCCCTCCGCGCCGACGGCAGCGTCGACGAGCCAGTGCTGCGCGAGCTCGTCTCGCTTGCGGCGCCTCTGCCTCTCACCTTTCACCGCGCGGTCGACGTGGCCGCCGACCCGGTGGCGGCGGTCGAGGCGTGCGTCCGCTGCGGCGTGAGGCGGGTCCTCTCCTCGGGAGGGGCGCCCGACGCCACGGCCGGCGCGGCGGTCCTCCGGCGGATGGTGGCGGCGGCGGGCGGGCGGCTGACAGTCGCCGCCGCGGGCGGGCTGAGCGAGGGCAACGCCGCGTCCATCGCCGCCGCGTCGGGCGCGGACGAGGTGCACGGCTCGCTCCGCTGCGTGCAGGGCAGCGCCATGCTGCACCGGCCCGAGACCCCGGTGTACATGGGCTCTCAAAAGGTCCATGGGCGAGAGACGGAGTTTGAGACAAAGGTGGCGGACCGCGAGCGGGTCGCGGCCGCCGTGGCGGCGCTTCAAACAGTGTACAGTGGCCGGCGGCCGGCGGTGGAGTGAAAACACGTTTTCGCCGTTCACGCGTACCACTTAACGGCTCGCACATACCACATTCTCTCTCTCCGCACACACAGACAAAAAGACGAACCCTGGGCACACACACAAAGATCGCACGGGCGGCGGGACGAACCTGTTCCTTTTTTACCCATCTCACAGTAGAGGTGTCCATTTTATTTATTTCTCCGCACACTCCGGTTTCATCGCATTCTCGCAAAGCCAAAGGCGTAGAGAGCTACCTTTATTCTTTTAGGTTTTAGTTTATAGGGTGTCGGCCTATCGAAAACCGGCAAAAGACTGCTCGAAAAGAAGGTTGATTCCCCCCGTCAACCCATGCATCTCGCGCGGTTTGCTCTCGACGATCGCGCCGGAGGCCGTAACCGATTCACGAGCACTTCGGTGGCAACTTGCTCCATCCTGTTTTCGATTCAAAAACGCGATCAACAAGATGCATCATGCGAAGACGGCGATGTGGGGAAGGCGATGCCACGCTCACATAAACGCACAACTCCGGATGGCACACACACAGGCTGTCTGCGGATTGAGTGAGCGTCTTGCTCTTGCCTGCTTGCCCCACCCACCCACGAACGACAAATTTCGACGGTCAGATGCTCCTCATTCTTAGGTATGTTGTTGGCAAATCAGGAACTCACCGTGGGTACGTCGTGTTTTCCGTATTTCGATTTTATTTTGCGCAAATCCCCCCCCCCCCCCCCCCGTCTCCTCTGCTCTCGCCGTCCCGAGAGGTCCGATGGACATCGCCATCGGCTCACGCGTCGCCCTCACTGGCCTCACGAATGAGCGAGGGCGCAGGCTCAACGGCCTCACGGCGACCGTCGATGCTGGGTCGTCCGAGCGCTGGGTCGTCCGGGTGCTCGCCGATCCTCAGAGAGGCCTCCGGGTTCCCATCTCAATCAGCGTGCGGCCAGAAAACCTGCTCCTGCTCCGCGAGCACCGCACGACGGTGGAGGTTGCGACCACAGCCGAGGCTCGCGAGCTGCTTTCGGGCACCTTTGCCAATGCCGCAGCCACCGGTGGCACGTGCGCCTTCGGAGATCAGCTGTCGCTTCCGGCAGACGTGGTACTCCTCCACATCTTCCCTCTGCTCTCGCGCAGCACGACGCGCGCGGTGGCCGCCGGGTGCCTCATCAGCGCGGGCGAGCTCGACCGAGTGGGCGAGGTGTGCCACGAGTGGCGCGGCATCTGCCTCGCGTTGCGCGCGCTCACTCCGGCATGCGCACGCGACGTGGCGGTCAAGCTCCGCATCGAGGGCGGCGCGGACGAGCCGTCGGGCGCGGACGGCGAGTACCGCCTCTGGGCGCACGGCGACCGGTCCCAGCCGCCACTCGAGCTCTTTTGCCACAACGTCCTCAGCGCGCGCCCGACCGAGTTTGTCTCGTTGCGCAGCCCGTCAACCAACCTGTCGTACTTCCCGCCCGGCGGCGCGGCGCGCGGCACGGTGCTCGTGAGCAGCTTCAGCAAACTGCGCATCTGCCCGTGGTCGCTCACGGTCAAGACGGACGACTTCACCTTTGCCACCTCGGCCGGTGAGGTGCTCCAGTCGTACTGGAACGGGCGGCGCACGCTGCAGCTGAGCGAGCTTCCGTTTGCGACCGCGCGCGACGCGGCGGGGCACGGAGGCGCGACCTCGCCCAACCGCGGCCAGGCGCAGATCGATCTGCGCGGCACCGGGCTGGGCGTGCGCGTCGACGGCTTCACGCCGCTCGGCTGCGCCGCATTCGGAGTCGTCGCCGTGCCGGTCGAAGGCTGCGCCGACGCACGCTCGCTCGTGCAGCCGCGCGTGGCGCTCTACGGCGGCGGCTTCGCCGGGCGCATGACGCCCACGGGCGACCGCACCACCGACGAGCGCGCGGCGGGCGGCAACTACGACGACGAGGGGCGGAACGGCGGGTGGGTGCTGCCGCTCGCGCGCGAGTCGGCCGACGCGCCGCGCTGGCCCGGCGGCACGCGCGAGGAGCAGCTACCGGTGGCGACGGCCGACTTGGGCGGGCATGCGAGTGCGGGCATGCTGCTCGTTGACATGCGCGTGTACGGCGATATGCCGCAGGTCATTCCGCTGTCCGACACAGAAGAGGACGAGAGCGAGGAGGACGAGTAGGAGGAGGAGGAGGAGGGCGCAAGCCAGTGCATCCCCTCGCGCAGCTGAAAGGCCTTCTGTTTTCTCCGGGCGTCTCGGGTGCACGTGCGGGCTTTTTTTGCAGACCCGGCCCGGACAGGTCATAGAGATGATCGGTTCACTTTTGTGATCGTAGCGCAGTGCTGCACCACGCCAGCAGCACGAGCACCACCAGCTCCGCGGTGAACCGCTCAGGATCAAGGAGCGGTAATATTCCACGGGGGACGCGAAGTCCCACAGTGATAAGTGTATTCTGTTGCTGCTCTAGATACAACATATATATCTCCCCCACACTCCCCCCTCAATCGCGAAATAGTCGCTTCAACCCCAGCGCCTCCCAGAACCGGCGGTCCGCCGCCGCCGCCGCGTCCGCGTCCTCCGACGCGCACTGCGCCCCGCCGCACTCGATGGACCAGCCAGGGGCAAAGAGAGCAAGCGAGAGGCCGGCCGCACGAGCCGCGGCGCACGCAGGCGCGCAAGCCGGTCCGGCGGCATATGGAGTGTTGCGCGCGAAGCAATCGACGCCAACATACACGTCGCACCGTCGCGCGCCGGCGAGGGCCACAGACTGCGCCAGCTGCTTCGCGCCCCACCAGTAGTTGGTGAAGAGGCCATCGCACGCGTCGAAGGCGGCCTTGTTGTCTGGGGCGAGGCTGTTCTGGTAGCGCACGCGCCCGGTGCGGTCGAGGGAATCGTACACGAGGACGAGGGCCTATGAGAAGGTTCCTGGAAGGCTCCCCGACGGCTCGAGGTCGAGGGAGCCGTGCATTCGCAAGTGGGCCTGCTCGCCGACCCGCTGCTTGAGGCAGACCGTGAGCAGCTCGAGCAGCTCGTGCACCGCTCCCATCCCCGCCGCCTGCGAGCCGCGAGAGGGGTGAGGGGCGCGAGGGGCGCGAAGCGAGTTGCGTGCGCGCGGCGTGCACCCCGCCGGGCACCGCCGCCTCGAGGTTGACCAGCCAGCCGTCAAAGCCGAAGTGGTCGCCTATGAGAAGGTTCCTAGAAGGTTCCTGGAAGGTCCTCGAGCCAGCCAGCCGTCAAAGCCATAGTGGTCGCAGAGGGCGCAGAGCTTCTCGACGCTCGCATCCACGTCGCCCAGCAGCGCGCCGACCTCGCTCGGCGCGTCTCCCTCCACGATGAGCGTGCCGAGGCACGGCAGACTGCGCGCGTGGCATGCCTAGTGGGGAGGGGTCCTAGAAGGCTCCTCGGAGGCTCCTGGGAGGTTCCTCGAAGGCTAGCCCGCGTGGGCGGCGTGCCTCCACCCACACGCGGGGCGGCATCGAGACGCGGTGGTGGCCAAAGTAGACGAACACGTCGACGGCCTCCCACCCGCGGAAGCAGTTCAGGTACTCGTCGTCGGCGAGAGGGTTGTACCCGCCGCGGCAGTCGTGGCAGGCCAGCGCGCGCGGCCTCTTGGGCAGCGCAGTCGTCGGCGCGGTGGGCGCGCGCGGCCGCGGCGCTTCCGTCGCGCGCGCAGCGGCCCAAGAGTGGAGCTGCGCGACGGAATGGAGGACGCGTGGCCGCTCGAGCTCGGCCGGCGGCGGAGGAGGACTTTTAGCGCCCTGCGGGTTGGCGGACTGCGTGGCGGCCGCCTGCCGTTGGAGCGCCTCGGAGCGTAGCGTGATCCCGACGCACTTTCCGTCGGCAAAGAGGATGTCAGCAAGCTCGTCGAGCGGTGGCACGGCATACTCAAAGGACGCGCCGAACACGCTGGCGTTCTCGCCGACGATCGGCAGCGTCCGCCCCGACGACAGGACCAGGTGGACTTCGCCGCACAAGTACCCCATCGCCGAGTTCCGCCCGCGCACCGCCACGAGCCGCTCGCCCGCCTCCGCCTCGTGCCATGCGCCGCCGCGGCGGGCCAGGCCGGCGTCGTCGGTGAGGTCCATCCGGCTGCCGTCATTCTCGAGGAAGGCGCCGCAGCGGGAGCCGTCGCCCAGCTCGATGCACAGCCCGTGCACAACCCATCCCTTGGCGACGCAGACGCGCGACGGCCGCGCCCCGTCGACCGCCCGTGTGAGTGCCGCATGCACCGGGCGCAACGCCGCCGCAGAGATGGTGGTCACGAGGGGAATGTCCTCGTCCGCCGCCTCCACGCCGCCCGCGCTGGCGGGCGCGGCTTCGAAGCCAAGTGCCGCCAGCCACACCTCTCCCTTGGCGTGGCAGAGCACCTTGCCAGCGACCATCTGGTTGCCGCGGCGGACCCTGCGGAACTTGGCCTCGTCCGGCGCACCCAGCACGTTGCTCGCAAGCTTGAGCAGCACGCCCAGCGCCGCCGGCGATGCGAGGCTGAAGAGCTCGTCGAGCGACGGTGGCGGCACCGCGGGCAGCACATCGGCGGGCGGTGCTTGCGGCGTGACCGGCGGAGCACTTCCGACGACGACGATGAAGCGGCCGCCTGTATTCACCGCATCCGCCAGGGGCGATGCGTCGTCAAGCATGGCGCCGTTGCACGCGATGCGGAGACGCGACGATGGCTGCCACTCCGCTCGTGCTGCCACCAGCGCGGCCTTGAGCTCGGCCACCAATCCGTCGTCCGCCACCGAGACCTCAACCTCCTCGCCCGTGACGGACTTGACTCGAATCCGCATGGTGGCAGGCCGCGTGAGTGCTTCCCTGGGAAGCGTCGTCGCGCCCCCGACCGACTGGCTACCTACCGGGTACCCGGGTAGCTAGGTAGGGCATCAAAGAGAAAAGAGTTGGACGCGGGGCTTTTGTACTGGAGTACAAGGTTGTAGTCTTTGTGTGTACGGCGGATTGGGATGGATCAAACAAAGCTCGCCCGTGAGCGGACCCAATAGTTCTCAAACATGAACCACACCTCCAGAAAAGAGAGACAGAGCCGGCCGGCGAAATCTCAAGTTTCTTCTCTGCCCGCGGGACTCCATTTGCTCAGCAGGCTTGCGCAAGGCACCGCCCGCCTGCGCAGGAGACTCTCGTGACTCCGATTGAACCAGTCCCAGAGCCGATGGGAGACTCGCACAACCGGCTCCGACGTGGTCTGCATTCGTATTGCATTTCTCACGGCGTGGTCGCCCGGGTCGAGAAGCATGGCCATGCGCTCCTTTGGGCACGCTTGACATTTCCCTGAGCTTCTCTGGCCCTCCGAGCATCGGTGGGTGTACAGGCTGTTGTGTTTGGGGGCGTACTCGTCCAGCGATAGGTTATAAGGACGCAAGCGCTCGTTGAGCAGCGAGAGCGAGTGCTGGAGCTCGTGCAGCGGCAGCACGCTGACACAGGGCGCCATCAGCTGCACCTGTAGCAGCTCGAGGAGCAGGTTCTCCAGCCCCGTCGAGGTTTCTGGCGAGGACCTGTTGAAGCACCTCAGCGCTTGGAGTGCCAGGCCGCCTCTACCGCGCTCTTCCACGTACGTGTCGTCGCCCGAACCTCGGAGCAGAGTGTTGATGACGGTGGTGGCCTCCATCCTCGCGTAGGCGGTGAATGTGTCGGTGCAATTGGCGCTCCTGACCTTGTTCTCGATGTTGCACACGCAGTTGTAGTTGAATAGCGAGATGGCTCGATCCACCGGCTCGCGCAGGGTGGTGATCACCATCTCTGGGCGACCTACGAGGTGCAAGTTGCTCAAGGTCGCGGATCCCAAGACAACCCGATACCGTGAGCGATAAAACTGCCCATGCTCGGCGAACTTTACGCTTTTGTTCTGCGCCTTTACGCCAGCATTAGAAACGGGCCACCCCGATGGTATTGCAAAGTTCAATAGCTGGCGCGCCATCGTGCCGCTGCCCGCTTTGACCATGTAAACCAGACCAAAGACCGGGTCCACAGGAGCAGCCGGGGATTGCGTCTCCGTCATTGGCACAAGCATGCGGGGCACGGGGAGTGTCACGTCAGCTTCCCGCGAGCAAGCGGCAGAGATCCGGTCCCATTGCGCCAGCGTGTGGACAGGAGCAACAGGCCGCATACCCGGGTACCAGTGCGCTCAGATCAGTACGAGTAAAACGAACAAAAGAATTTTACAACGGGCACGGGACTGGACAAAAGAGTTTCTCCCATCCCTCCCTTGGGTTGTGTGTTTTCTTTCTTTCTTTCTTAAAAGAGTTTGACAACAAAACTCCCTCGCACGACACTGGGCACGAACAAAAGAATTTCGCAGTTTGTCAGAAAACACGCCTGCGTGGATCGCGAATCGCGTCACACACCAATCCCTCCCTTGGCTTGTCTGTTTTCTTTCTTTCTTTCTTTACACCAATCCTCGCTACCCAACGCGGCCAAAGGATAACCACCTCGAGAATCCGAGAGTCTTTGCCTGTCGCGTGAATCGTGGGCGCGTAAAATTCTTTTGCGCGGTTCCGTCCGGCTGGTTCGGCCTAGGGTTCGGCCATCCACCGCCACGCCACTCTTCACAGGTTTGTCGCTAGCCGACGCTAGCCGTCGCAAAAGTGTGCGCGCAAGCGAAATACTCGCGTGTTGCGCCGCATCGTGCTCTAAACACGGCTAATCACCACGAGCACACACCCACACCTGCCTGTCCCTTGAGTCCCGTTCTACAGCGCGACCAGATTTATAGGCCAGCGCACAGAAATACAAACACAAATGGTATTGCTAAAAAATCTCTCTCTCAGAAATAAGCGGACCACCACCGTGACGGACTTGACTCGAATCCGCATGGTGGCTGTCGGTGCCTTGGGCTTGGCTTGGCGAGAGCCCACGAGAGAGAAGCGAGATAGATAGATGATAGTTGGCACGGGACCACTGGCGCGCACTGGCACAAACACAGGTACACCACGGGAGCCGCCTAAGCGACTCCTGCGACGGCGAGGCTTAGCTCCAGAAAAAGAATAGGTACGTCCAGAAATCATGGACCAGAAAAGAGAAAAGAAAGAAAGAAAACACACAACCCAAGGGAGGGATGGGAATGATTTGCCAACACAGCACGGGGTTTTCTCGGAATTGCCCCCCCTCGGGCGCCCTCGTGCCTCCAAGCGCGCTCAACCCGCCTGCGCGTGCACGCTGCCGAAGCAGGCAGTCGACGCCCGCGTACGCTCTCGTCATCGGCCCGGCCGTCACGCTCGTCGACGTAATCGCCTCACCGCCCTCCACGAAGTGGGGCACGGAGCTTTCTCTTCGCCTCTGTTCCTCGCGCCATTTCCCTGCCTGCGTGCATCGGCTGAGCCTTCTGACCGGAGCCGCCCCAGGCGGGCCACTCGAGGACGTCGCCTCCGCTGCCGCCTCTGCGCTCGACGGCCTGTGCGCGGCACACGGCTGCGCGCGAGAAGCGCTTCGCGGCGTTGGCGCCGACGCCCAGCAGCGACTCGAGGCACTGCATCGGGCGCAAGGCATCACGCTGTGCGGCAGCCGGCTGCTGGAGGTACTCGATGGCCCCGCCGACGACCTCACTAACTCTAGCACATCGATGGCCGAGAGCACCTTTGATGCGGTGTGCGAAGCTGCGGTGAGCGCAAGGGTGCTGGACCAGCCTCGAGTGGACCAGATGACGGATGTGTTGGCTTCGTATTTGGGCGATGAGGCGCGCGAGCGCGCGATCGAGCGGATCCTCGCCTCTCCGCCGTTGTTCGCGCCGCACACGCGTGTGGAGCTTGCCGGGCTCGCGGCGCGTCCAGAGCTCAACGGGCAGCAGGGAACGATCGCCGCCCCCTTTCGTCGCGGGGCCGATGGCAGCCTGCGCTTCCCTGTGTCGCTGCCCATCGGCGATGGCGCCCCGATGTTGGTCCGAGCGGTCAACCTGCGCCTTTTGGAGCAGGGGAGGCAAGGCAGGAACGGGGGTGGGAAGACGGAGGAAACGGACGTGTTTGCAGAGCCAATCAAGCCACTGCGCGTCGCCTCCGCCGCGGAGGACGCTGCTGCCCGGGCGCGGGCTGGCGCGGCGCATGCGGCGCACAAGCAGCGCATGCAGGCCAGCGACAACGATGCAGGGAATGCCACGCCGTCGGAGGCGATCTGGGAGTACGAGGCGAATGGGGTGTGGGAGCCTTACCCATCGGAGCTAAACAAGCAAATCGAAGGACTCTACTCGATGGGATCTCCGCAGTACCTCTACCGACCGGGTCGGCCGGAGTGCGAAGGGATGTATGACCCGGATGCAATTAACGGTTTCTTAGTGGGCAGGAGGCCGCACGACCAGTGCGCCACACACAGGATCGTCTTTGGCGAGGGGCGCGAGGTGTTCATGTACGCGGGCGGCGGAAGGCGGGTGAGGCGGCGTGGCCCTGCGGCGGACGCAGCGCACATGGAGTTCATGCGAGGCTTGGTGCCGGGGGAGGTTGACGCAGGCGGATGCCGTCGTGAGGCGGGCGCGCAGCAAAGGTGGGAGCGCCACTAGTTCATGCGAGGCTTGTGCCCGGGAGGCAAGCGGGACGCGCAGGCGGGTGTATGGTGTTGGGTGCTTGGGCGTCGTCTCTCCGTTTGACGCAACATCTTCGAGCAGGATTCCTCGCGGCAACACAACTTGGCGCTCTCGATGTGCGCGCTAGGCGGGCCTCACATTGTCGTGAACTGGGAAAGCGTTATATAATTTTGTCCAGTATGAGCAAGCAAAAAGGAGCACACACGACTTAGCAAGTCCGCACCAGCGCAGCACCAGCGACTTCGCCGCTGGAAAGCGCGTTATATGCTCTTGCTGTGCAGCGCAGCCACCCCGATTCTGTTCCTCTGGCAGGTATGGCTGGACTCCTAGGGCTGAGCTCTGGCGCACCCATGCGCGAGGCTTGCTCTCGCTTTGTAGAGGCGGCCCCCCTGGGCATCATCTCGATGGAGGCGCTGACGGATGTGCAACTCATCGGCGCCCTTTCTTGCCGCCGCGCTTCTTACTCACGACCACCTCCCAGTCTCCGCCTCCAGCATCCGCAGCGGGTGCAGGTGCCGCCTCTGACGATGGCTAATGCCGGAGACGAATCGCGTGAGTTGGCGCGTTTTGGGGAGGGTGGGTGAGGGTTGGGTCGCACTTGCTTTGCTGTCGCCCAAGGGAGAGGAGGCAGGGATCCGTCATCCACGCTTTCGCGCTCGGCCCACTTTGCCAAGCTGCGCTGTTTCTTGACGGGCTCGGCCTTGGCCGGCTCAAAGTCGCCGCGACTGTGCAACCCGGGTAGTGCTAACTCGTCAATCTGTCGTCATCACTCGCATTATATGGGACGCAGGGCACGCCTCCGGCGAGAGCTTGAGCGCGTGATCCGGGTGGGTGCCGCCGGCCTAGATGCGATAAGATGGCATGGTCGGCTTCGGATTGGGAACCGGCCAAAAGAAATGGCTGTGATGCAGACGCCCGGCCGCGCTGCACATGTGACTGTTTTCCGCCCCCGCGCGGACCGGGCGCTGATACCTGTTACACACTTTCTTTTGCGGAGTTTGTGCGGCGTTGTGGCAAGGTTCGGTTCTCTCTTTTCGTAGCCACACCTCAAAGACACAAAGAGACGCTCTCTCTCTCTCTCTCTTGAAAACCAGAGGGAGAGCGAGAGGGAGAAAGATCTCACTCAAGTAAGTGCGCAAAGAAACGAACGCGCCGGTCGACGCCAGTCACCCACCCGAGACCCGTCGAGCGTCGTCCGCCCGCCAGCCTGTGCTGTCAGAAGCACGCCACCACTAGCTTAGAAGCACCAGAAGCTCCTCCGGGGCTGCTTCGGTGGTGGCGGCGGCGACGGCTTCGGTGGCGGCGGTGGCGGCGGCGACGGCTTCGGTGGCGGTGACGGCGGCGGCGGCGGCTTCGGTGGCGGTGACGGCGGCGGCGGCGGCTTCGGTGGCGGCGGCGGCGGCGGCGACGGCGGCGGCGGCGGCGGAGGGGAGGGTGCCAAGGGGCTAGGAAAGGACGAATAGGGGAGCAGGAGCTTGGCGCCCGTCGCCCACTCCCTGCCCTGCTCCTGCGGGTACGTGATGGCGCAACCCTTGTCGTCATAGTCGCGATTGCCATTGATGAGGATACCGACCATTTCGCCCGACATGTCGAAGACGCCCGACCCGGACGAGCCGACGAACGCGTCCACATTTGTCGAGAAGCGGAAGGCGTCCGTCCCCGACTGCATCACCTCCTTGACCTGTGCGTCACCGGCGTACTTGCGCGGGAGGCCATCCGGGTGGCCGATGCTCATGACGGGCGTCCCGATCGCGACTTCAGTGCTTGCGACGCGGACGGGCGAGGCGACCGAGTCGGGGACGCTCCGGTCCAGCCGCACGACGGCCCAGTCTTTCCCGCCGGTGGACACTGAGATCTCGACAGAGCCGCATGAGTAGAGGCGGTCGGCAGCGAAGGGAGTGCCGCGGACCATCGCGTCGGTAGTCGCGCCAAAGGCAAATGCGAGCCTGCCGCAAAGGTGGGGTTTGAAGCAGTGCCCTGCGGTCGCCACCTTGTTTGGAGCGATCAGCGTGGCGGTGCAGCGGCCCGGGGTGGGTTGGTCGCTGAAGCGCAAAGGCGTGCCATCGCAGTCGCCTTTCTTGTCGCGGAGACTTTGTTCGTACTGGAAGACGCCCTGGCTGTCAAACACGCGATTACTCTGCGTGTCGTAGATCATTGCGACGGCATCGCCAATCGAAGTCCACTCTGGTGGCATCGCGCTGTGCTCCTGTCGTGAGTCGGAGCCGTAGATCGCCTTGTTTACGAGGTTTCCCGTCGAGGCGGGCGGGTCGATCTCCGGAACTGGCACCGCGGGCGGCGACAGCAGGAGCGCGAGCAAGGTCATGACCGAAAGCGGATCGCTTCAGAGGGCGTCAACAAGGACTCGCCGGATTGTGTCACGCGAAAGCAGAGCCGGCGCACGGGAGTGTACGTAAGAGCTACATACAATTAGAGAAAGGGCAAGTTTTTCTTCTTCTTCGCGGGCGACGCCGAGAACATCAACAAGCAGGCGCGCAATGTGCGTAAAGACTGGCTCAACTCCCCAGCGCGTGCCAATTGGGTGGGTCAAGAACCTACTGTCTGAATACGTTTTCCACGTATTCCAAATGACCTCCCAGAGGCCTGTATTCTGCCGTATTCCACCCGTATTCCACGTATTCCATGGAATACGCCGTATTCCAAGCTCCCAAAATGGACGTATTCCGTATAAAATTTTCTTCGCTCCGCGAATTCAGAACATTTGGTATTGCTAAAAATCTGTGTCGAATTCAGACAGTAGGGTCAAGAACAAGCAAGTGGCAAACGGCTTCTTACGCTCGGCCCCAGTGGGGGGTGCCCGCGCCGCCTAGCTCTGCGGACGGCCCCCCCCACCCTTCGTGTAATCATGTAGTCCCCACAATCGCTGACGTGGGATCGCTCATCATGTGAGAAGAAAAGAAAGAAAACAGGCAACCCAAGGGAGGGATGGGAGGACGGTACGCCGCCACCACACAGGGATTTTAGGGGAGAAGTGTGGTGTTAGCCGTCGCCCACCCTCGGGCGTCTACCACTGCCTATCTCTCTCCGCAGTTTATCACCAATTCTTGCAGCGACCTTCATGCCACCTCGCATTCTTCTCACTCTCGTCGTTCTCTCTCCTGCTGTCTCTTCCCCTGACTCATCGCTCTCCTCGGCCTCGTTCTGAGACGCCGCTGTCGTCTGCCGATCTCTGAGAGATCGCCTTGTGTTCTTGGGATTCGCTTTCTCTTCTTCTCGAGGTGTACTGCTCGGGCTGGAGAGCAGAGAGGCTGCTGCGTCCATGAACCAGCTTAGAAGCGTGCTCGTTGCGTCGCTGGCGGCCAGCGCCGCCGCATATGCGCCCTCGGCGCTGGCCGGCATGCCCGCCACGTCGGGCACAGCTCGCCCTGCCGCCGCCGCCGCCGCCGCTGCACAGCCGTCGCCTTCCCGTGCCGTGCGGGCTGGCGGGCCTGTGTGCCAGATGCGACGCGGAAGGCAGATGCGAAAGCCTCCGGCGCCAAAGGACAACACACCCATCAACGAGGCGATCGCATTCGACGAGATGCGCGTGCTGGTGCGGCCTCAGCGTCGCTCGCCGTTCTCTCTCCACCGCCACGTCTCAACCACTTGCGTGTGCCTAGGTGGACGTCCCCGGCGGGTCGGACGAGATGCTCGGCGTCATGCCCAAGGCCGACGCGCTCGCCGCAGCGGAGGCGCGTTGAGATGCGGAGCGGCGAGAGACGGGGCCTTTGCCGTCTAGCACATGGCCCGGTCCGGGTATGCCTCTCTCGGGGGCAGTGCCGGCGGTGCCCCCCGAACCCCCACCCGCAGCCAGGCCCGCACCCCGCCCTTGGCCTCACCCCGCCGCCTCTCTCAGGCGCGCCTCCCTGCCGCCCTCCTCTCGCCTCACCCCTCCCTGCCCCCTCCCTGCCCCCTCCCTGCCCCCTCCCTGCCCCCTCCCTGCCCCCGCTGCAGGAGCGGCAGCTCGACCTCGTCCTGATCGCAGACAAGTCGGAGCCCGTCATCTGCAAGATCGTGTCGTACGACAAGTTCCGCTTCAACAAGGAGAAGAAGAAGAAGGAGCAGGCGCGTCGCTCGCCCCGCTGGAGGCTGCAGTCTGAGGCTGCAGTCTGAGGCTGCAGTCGGAGGCGGCATCCCTCCCCCTCCGCCGCTCTCACGGCGCATTGGACCGCCCCTCCCCCGCAGGCAAAGGCGGTCAAGGGGCAAGAGCTCAAGGCGACAGACACACACCCGCCGAGAGGCCGCCAGAGATAGGCTCAAGGCGTTCGCTGCACTCGAGAGCGCCGACACGGATGACCCCTCCTCCTCCTCCGCCCGCCGCCGCCCGCCCAATCGCCGCCCACACCGCCCGCGCCCACACCACCGCCTTGCGCCCTCCCCCTCCTCCCCGCAGGAGCTCAAGATGTCGTACAAGATCGGCGCGCACGACTTCGACGTGCGGCTCCGCTCGGCGCAGCGCTTCCTCAAGCAAGGCAACAAGGTCAAGTTCTCGATGCTCTTCCGCGGGCGCGAGATCGTCCACTCCGCCGTCGGCAAAGAGATCATGGAGCGGATGGCGACCGCCCTCGACGACCACGGGGTGCTCGACTCGTCGCCGCGCGTCTTTGGGCGGCAGATGATCATGACGGTCGGGCCAAAGACCAAGGAGGCGATGGCGGCCGCCGCGGCAAAGAAGGAGAATAGCTAGCGGAGCAACTTGCTGCCGGGACTTTGTTGTTTAACGTCGATTAACTTCACGACTTTTTTCTCGAACTCAGTGTAGCCCAGCGGCCATTACACTCTGTGTGCTTTGTTTTTCTTTTCTCGAACTCGGAAGTGTTGCCGCTGCACGATGCACTTGGAGCACTTGGAGACACTGTCCGTGCCCGCACTGACCAACACCTACGATGCTGTGCGAGGAGCCCGCACGTGTCGAATTCTTGCCTCCCAACCCGGCGCACGACGACGCAGCGCCCTTCTCCCCGAAGGACGACCTGGCGCGCATTCTCGCGCTCTCCGGCACTGACCAGTGCCCGCTCTACCTCAGCCGCTTCTCGACGTACACGCCGCCTGACAAGATGCGTTGGGCATGCTGCTCCGAACGGTGGCAACAGAGCGCCATCTCGCGGCTGAGGCACGAGACCTGCGACGGTCGCATCGTCTCTGTGCCTCGCCTGCTCTCCGCTCTCCACGGCCGCACGCTCTCTCTGGTTGGAGACTCGACGATGAATCAGATGTTCGACATGCTCGGCGCGCGCCTCGACGCCGCCGGCGAGGTGAGCGAGATCACGCGGCGACGCGCGGAGCACAACCTCGAGGCGCGCCACTACGCGCAGGACGCCGTCTGCTCGGAGCGGACCACCGCCGGCGACCGGCCGAGGACGGGCGGCTCGACCGCTCGCTTCCGGCTCGAGCCGGGTGAGTGGCGTGCGTCCGTCCGTGCGCGTGCGAGCGAGTGTGCTTCGCTCACGCGCGCGTCCTCGCGAGGATTAGGCGCGCGGCGGTGCTCGCTCCTCTCGTGCAACGGCACCTCTGGCAAGAAGGCGTTCGAGGCGCTCTGCAGGCAGCTTCCCGACGAGATCTGGACGCCGCCTTGCATAGTACTGTGTCACATGATCGAGGCCCTCCGCAGGCAGCTGCCCGACGAGGAGATTTGGGTGCGGCGTGCGAACGCGACGATCCGTTTCTACCGCACGGACGGACCTTTCGCCAAGCCAAAGGCGGGCGCGTGCGGGACGGCCGCCGCATTCTCGCGCCGCATCGCCGCCGCCGCCTCCGGGGCGGACATCCTCGTCGCAAACGTCGGGATGCACTACAACCGGCGAGGCGTCCGCCGCCGCGCCGCGCGCAAAGTGTCGCGTCGAGGACTCGTCGTGGACGCGTCCCCCTAGGCCCGCACCCGCCAGCCGCGCCGCCTCGTGGCGCGCAAAGAACGAGCCCGACGCCGCCCACAGCCCGACGGCGTACGAGTCCGCCGGGAAGACGCTCCTCGACCGGCTGGAGGAGGCGGCGGAGGGCGGCGCGCTGGCGCTCGCGATGGAGTCTTTTGTGCGCCGCTTCTTCACGGCTGCGTCTGCTGTGAAGACGCGCTGCTCACGCGTGGCGCCCCGTGAGGCAGGTGCAGCACTTCTTCACAGACGACGGCTCTGGCGACTCGACGCGCCGCGCCGCCGGAGTGTGAAGAGGCGCTCCTCACTCCTTCACGCGTCGGCACCGTGTTGGCAGGCGACTACGCGCACCGCGACCCAGCCGAGGAGCGGCGCGAGCAGAGCCGCGTCGGCCGCCTCAAGGCGCAGGGCGGCCCGTGGGAGGGGTGCCGCTGCGGGCAGCTGGGGCAGTCCTCCGCAGGCCGACCCGACTGGAGGAACGAGCGGCTGGCCGCCTGGCTGCAGGCGCGCTCGGAGCAGGCGGGCGGCGCAGGGAGGCGCGCGTGCGTGGCCCGCTGGCGGGCGGGCTGCAACCCCTTCCCTCCCCACGCCCTCCCCAACCCCTCCCCCCTCTCTTCGCCCTCGTCAGGCCTCGCGTGGCGCTGCTGCCGCTGGCGGCGCTGCTGCGGTGCGCCGCAGCCGCCGCCGCCCGGAGGCGCAGGGCCGTGCGGGGCGGTCCTAAGGGGAGGCTGGCTGGCGCCCTAGGCCTATGCACGACCTGCACCAGACCCGCCGCCAGTGCGACTCGCCCGCGAGCGGCGGGCAGTTCAAGGACTGCCTGCACATCTGCATGCACCCCCGCACGTGGGAGGTGCTCACGGAGCCGCTCTTCCGCAGAGTGGTCAATTGGGCGCACGAGCGAGGGTGGGGAGGGCCGGCGGGCGCGGCTCTCGCGCTGCCGCCCCAGCCAAAGTCAAAGGGGCGCGCGAAGCGCAGGGGTGCGTTTGGGCTCCGCAGCAAAAAGGCTTTCGAGGTGTGAGGCTGATATACTGTGACTCGCGCGCCGAGCGGAGGACCACGGGACCACCCCCAGGGGCCAGAGGGCACACCGAATTGTGTTTTCATTGTACGGCTCTAAAGTGTCTAATATTTATGTCGCGATATTGCGGATTGCGGCGCGATATTCCGCCCTTGGGACTACGACGCGTCTTCTCTGCCCTTCTCCGACGCCATTCCACTTGACGTCCCCGCCTGGCTCGCGAGCATCTCGCGCACCGCCTCGACCCCCGCCCTCGGGTCGTGCGGTGCGAGCATGAGAGCGCCCTGCAGCTGCGCGACGGAGAGCGACCCGGGAGGCACGCAGCCGCAGAGCTCCTCGGCGGCGGCGTCGGAGCCCTCGCCGTAGAAGTGGCGCAGGTAGCGCCGCAGCTGCTCGCCGCCGCACCGCTCGAAGGGCACCCGCACGTCGACGCGGCCCGGGCGGAGCAGCGCCTCGTCGAGTCGGTCGACGTGGTTGGTGGTGAGGAAGAGCAGGCGCCCCTCCTGCGCCGCGACGCCGTCGATGCCGTTGAGGAGGCCCGAAAAGGTGAGCCCCCCACCCGCAGCCCCGGCGACGGCCTGCCTTCCCGCGAAGGCGGCGTCCGCGTCCTCGAGGAGCAGCACGCAGCGGCGCGCGGCTCCGGCGAGCGCCTCTGCGAAGGAGTCGTCGGTCAAGCGCGCGCTCGAGAGAGAGACCACGTAGATGGGGAGCTGCAGCTCTCCCGCGAGGGCCGCGACGAGGGACGTCTTGCCGGTGCCGGGCGGGCCGTGCAGCAAGTAGCCGCGCCGGTACGGGATGCCGCGCGCCGCGTACCAAGGCTCGGCGCCGAGGAAGCGGCTGCAGTCGGCGAGCAGCTCCGAGCCCTGCCCCTCCCGCCCGAGGACCACGGAGCCGAGCGGCCGGCGCGGCTTTGACGCGACGCGGTTCCAGCCGCCGTACTCGTCCGTGAAGTAGATTGCGGTGCGCGCCTAGAGCGAGGCGACGTCTCTCGAGGCGTGGCCAGGCGGCTGCCGCACCACCCCGTGCGCGGGCGGCGGTGAGGCGCCTGCTCGCGCTCGATGTAGGCGGCGCGCGCCTCGGAGATGAGGTGGCGCAAGTCCTGCTGCGTGCCGCGCACCAGCCGCAGCGTGAGCGACTCTCGCTCCTTGCCCGAGTTGAAGGCCGACTCCTGCTCCTTTTCGCGGCTCACGAGAAGCAGCTTGCCGGAGTACGTGAGGGAACGCCGCCCCGCGGGGAGGAGGAGGATGCCGTCCGAGCCGCCGCTGCTCTCCTCGTCCTCCGGCGCGGTGTGTCCATAGCGGCGCAGCGTTGTGGACACGGTGAAATGGGTGTTTGTCGCCAACTCCGGGTGGCTCATGAGCCACGTCAGCACCCAGCGGTAGCTGTCGTCGCGCGAGTCAATCTCTGCCGTCACGACGCACCGGCGCACGATGACCTCTCCCAGATATCGGCCGAGAGATCTTACCGCAGCGAGCGCTACCCCGGCGGCTCCGACGGTGAGGCCGCCGGTGGCGAACTGGTTGGAGAGCACGGACGAGACAGCTGTGCACATACCTCGCGACACAGCAGCGTGGCGGCTGGACACACGGGCGAGCATAGCGTTGTCGAATATTGCGGAGTTGGGGCGGATTTCGTGACCGCAACGCTCGGATGGCTGTTGTTGCGCTTCAGCGCGTCTGCGCGTCTCCGAGCAAGGTAGCCGGGAGAACAAGCACGCAGTGGCGTCGAGTGGCGACCGGAAGTACCCGAGCGGGAACTTTCATGGGCGATTTTCTTTTTTCAACTTTAGTCAACTTTAGTACCTACTTGTCATCTGATGGTGAAGGTGCATTTCCTTCCAGCACTCACATGCTCGAGGTTGAAGAGGTGCCTTGAAGAGGCGCCTCCACTGGTGTACGCACATTATATGTAACATGTCCATTTATCTTCTTGATCGAGTACCTTAGTAAAACTGACACTTTTTCCACGTTTAAGCCCCGCAGGATTCGACACTTCAGCTTGGTATAGTATCATTGTATGCTTCTCGAGGGGGTATCAAGGTATGCTCTCGTGGTGCTACCCGTAGCATTGTCGGCTCAGTGATGGGTATCCAAGGTATCATCGCAGCGGAGCCCGCCACGGCGCCTAACCCCGCGCCCCCCGCGGCGCCGGCCCCGGCCGCAGCCGTGCAGGCCGCGGCCCCTCCCGCGGCTGCAGCCGCACCGGCTGCGGCAGCGGGCCCGTCGAATGCGACGACGGCCGCCATTAGCGCCCTCCTCGCCCAGCGCATTGCTTAGTGGTGCGCTCGCCTCCCTCCTGCGCGACGCTCATTCGAGCGCGTTGTCTGTCTTGGGGCGCGCGCAGCGCGCGAAGAGGTGTGAAGAGGGGGTCGTGTCCGGTGTGAAGGGTAAGCGACTGTTCCGCGGTGGTGTCGTCCAAATGCAACATTCTCACCTCCGCATCGCCGCCGCTCGGCTCGAGCTCTCCGACGTTGCGTCCTTCGCCGCGTCGGCGTACCTCACGCGCTATGCGACCTCTCCGCCGCCGCCGATGCCTGCGGCAGCCACGGCGGGCTCACGAGACGGCGGCGCAGAGGCGGCGGCGGGCGCTGACGCCGAGGAGGAGGCTGCAGCGCGGGTGGGAGCGTGCCTATTCGCCGCTTGCAAGGCGTGCGAGCAGCCACGCCGCGCACGCGACGTGGTCAACGCCGTCCACCTCGCTGCACGCGGCGAGGTGCTCCGCGACTCGCGCACCTACTGGCGACGAAAGGACGCGCTGCTTCAGCACGAGCAGTCGTTGCTCCGCGCGCTCGGCTTTGAGCCCGCCGTCCACCCTCCACACCGGCTCCTGTACAACTACCTCCACGCACTGCGAGCTCCACCGCAGCTCTGCACGCTCGCCGCTGCAATCGCCAACGACGCCGCCGCCTCCGCCGACTGCGTGCGGCGGCGGCCTTCCCTGATCGCCGCCGCCGCCATCGCGCTTGCCGCTGCGCTGCTCGGCCCTGCCCTACCGGTGGTCTCCTGCCGCGGGGTGGGAGGGCGGCCCGAAGACATGGGCGGGACCGAGACCTCGTCTGAGACTGCCTCTAGGCGGGCTGCCTGCCGCCCCGCTGGTGGGTCGCGCTGGGCGAGGAGGAGGCGAGCCTCCACGCCGCGTGCACCGACCTGATGGCGGTCTACGAGGGCTGAGGGCCACAGCGTGCTGTCGTGTGTGCGTAGTTGCTGCCTTTCGTGCATTTCTGCTCGATGATAGTCTATAGATGACATTATGCCGATTTTCCGGAGATCCTTTCGTGTAAAAAAGGATTAAAATCAAAAAAAGGGAGCGGACGGAGCTGAGGTGTGAGGATGCCTTTCGCGGCGAAGAATTTGAACTCAACCAAGACAAGCAGCCTTCACAAACATTACCTCGGCACGCCCCCCCGGCCCCGCGGCGCGCCGGTATCTCAAGCCTTGCCGACCTTCGCCTCGAGTGCCTCAATGCGTTGCTGGAGTAGTGCCTCCTGGGCTGCCTGTCTCGCCTACCAAGGCCAAACGCGCAATGTCTCCACAGACCACACGCGTCATAGCGAAACCTCGCCCAAAGCTATCTATCTCTAACAATCTCACCTCCATTGCAGCCGTAAACTCGCTCAGATAGGCCTCCACAGATTTGCCCAGAGCCTCGCTAGCGGGTGGCGGCGTAGGTGACGCATCGGCTGGTGTCTGCGCCTCCTCCTCACTCGTCTGCTCAGGCGCAGGTAGATCGAGCTCGGCGCTGCTAGTGTCGGCGGCAGTCTCCTCAGCGGTGGAGTCGGCTGGAGGTGACACGCAAAGATCAAGGGCATCTTCTGTCTCAAAAGACTCCACCTGTGTTGCGGCAAGACACTTCTGACGTTGACAGGTGAGATGGCAGAGGCACGCGCTGTCACCTGCTCGGCATCCGCCAAAGGCTCCGGCGCCGTGGGTCGCTGCACCAAGTAGGTTGCCTCGGAGAGACGGACGTCCTACGGCGCCAAATACCTCATGGGCTGTCGGCAACTTGCATGCGACGTGGGCCGTGCATGCCAAATTGAGCGCGCCTGCCCAACGGTGAACACTGTGCGTATCAGCCAAGGATGGTCGATGACTGCGGCGCGTGCATGCGCCATCAGCGCCTCGACGTCGACCTGCAAAGTGAGGCGAAAGTGACCCAGAAGAGGTTCGGCGTGGGTGGCTCATCTGCTGGCATGTGTGCTTGCCAGCGAAAAGCGTTCGCTGGGTGCCATTGCCTTGGTCGACTCGAGTACCGCTGAGGAGAAGAAGCTTAGGCAGGAAGCAGGCAGCTCTCCTATAGCAGCGCAAGGAGCATTCAAGTACCACGGCGCAGAGGAACGTGTGTTTAAACCATCGGCCACAACACCCTCGTTCGCGACCAAGGCGTTGACCGCATGGCTTGCGAGCGACTGGATGAGGTCGAACGAAGCCAGCGCCTTGAGCGATGGAGCGGTTCGTTGTTTTGCGTCGCGACTTAGCGTCTGGGGAGTGATGTGTGGGGACCTTGGCTGCAGAAAAGCGCTGCTCCTTTGCAAACACGAGGGTCGCATGGAGAAAATCGAGCCAGAGCGAGATCCTGCAAGTCGGTATGGTGGGGTGAGCGCGACTGGGAGCGCGACTGGGAGCCCGCGCGGTGTGACTTGGAGGCACCTTGGCTCCTCCTCAGCATCTCCGAGGTCCGCGATGCGAGCCAGAAGCGAAATACTCTCGGCGCTGTCCGCAGGCCGCCACACCTCGGCCAGCTGCTCCGGCGTGATGCGCAGGGCCTCGGGCAAGCTTGCAGGCATGGGCCCCGGACGCGCAGCACAGTTGTCAGTTACAGGGTTTTGCCTCTTAGTTTCTTTTGATGCACCTGCTGAATGCCTTTCTTACCGGAGTCGCTTAAGCGACTCCGGTGGTTTGCCTGTGTTAGATCTAGCACGCGCCAGTCCGCACCTGTGTCGAGCCTGTCTGAGAATTGTTTTTTATGTTAAATTCTTTTGATGTTCGAGCGTGAGAGGGGAGGGCGAAACATGGAGCCTGTATGAGAGGTTGAGGTGCGAGCCCTGGAGGCCCTGGGGATGGGGGGAGACTACCCGCAGGCCTGGAAGGCCCGCGCAGGGGGGGGGGGAGATTCACAAGGTTCATGTTCGCAAAGTCGCGCCGTCCAAACTTACCGCAACCGCGGGAGCATTATGGCGGAGCTTTGCCCCCCGTCCCGGTCCCGGTGTGGGCTCCTTCTCGTCTGTCTTGCGGTGGCAAACGCCTTTGGAGGGCTCTCGGACGACCTCGGCCTGCACGCGGTCCCCCTGTTTCGCAAGCCCGCCGTGAGCACCGGCCAGCTCGAGCTGGTCGAGGACGGACTCAACGTGCTGCGGGCGCAGACGGAGCCGTTTGCCATTGTGAGTGCAGTCGGACCCACGCGCACCGGGAAGAGCTCCATCCTCGGCCGCTCCTTCTTCCGTGGCGAGCACGAGAACATTTTCGAGTCCGGCAGCGGCGTCACCTCCCACACAGGCGGAGTGTGGATAGCGAGTCAACCGATCACGATGCAGCTGGCGGACGGCAGCTCCTTGCGCGTGCTCTTCATCGACACTGAAGGTTTCAGCGGTGTTGGCGGCATCACCTCCAAGACGTACGAGGCAAACCTGTTTGGGCTCGTTTACCTCCTCTCCTCCGTCGTCATATTCAACACCATGTTCCCCGTTGACGCCTCGACAGTCGCCAGCCTCAACGCACATGCGAGCCACGCGCTGTCGATGCTGCAGGCGCTCACGGACAGCGGCCAGGCGGTCCAGAAGAGCAAGCCGCGACTGGTCTGGGCCATCCAGAGCTTCAACATCTTTAACCTTCATAACAGCGGCATGGCGGCGGAGGACCTGCTCGCGGCACTCCGCAACGCCTCGCGCGCCACTGGGCAAGAGCACGCCCTCGCGGTGCTGGGCGATGCCGCCTCGAACTCAGCTTGGCTGGTTGAGAAGCTCTTTGAGGAGCAAGAACTCGTGACTGTGCGGCGGCCGCATCCTTCCGACGAGATCGTTGCCAATCTTGCCAAGTACAACAGCTCGTTGCTGTCTGCGGATTACCTGCACGACGCAGACCAACTTCAGCTAGCGACGAAGCACAACCTGAAGCCTGTGCACCGCTGCAAGGAGGACGGCACAATCCTAACTATCACCAAGTGCACCGCCGAGCCCTTGGTCGGGGCAGACTTTGTGAAGCAGCTCGCTCTGTGGCTGAAGCACGGCTTCATTCTGGACAGGAGCGACCTCGAGGTTGACTACGCGAGCGAGACGGAGACCCTCAACAACCTGCGTGAGCGCAACCGCGTGTGGTTCGATTCGCAGTGCAAGTCGCTGAACGAGGAGCTGCGCACCAAGTTCTACTGGTACCGCGATGACTCGACAATGAACCAGGGTCTGAGGCAGGAGGCGGTGGCGGCAGTCGAGAAGATGATGAAGGGATTCCACGGCGCGGCCCTCTCGAAGCTGGTCGAGAGCGGCGTGTTCTGGAAGTTTCCGGGGAAGGGGGCGATGCTGGTGGAGGCTCAGGCAGAGCAAGCCATGCAGCGCTGCAAGGAGACGCTCGACGGCACCCGCAGGCACATGGAAGACTGGGTGGCCCAGAGAGGCAAAGGGGAGAAGCTGCCGCAAGAGCTGCAGAAAGAGGCCGATTCGATCGCGAAAAAGGGGCTCTACCAGCTCGTGGCTACAGATAGCTCCTGCTTTAGCAGGACAGACGCCCACCGCATCAGCCTCGGCAGCCGTTTCACCCTAGCCTCGTGCGCCGAAGCAGTCTCCCAAAAGTGCGAGTGTGGACGTGGCTTCGAGTTCCATGAAGGCAACGACGGCTATTGCGGCTGCGGCACTGCTGGCACGCCCAACTCCGACTGCACCGAGCACCAGGAGGACTTCACCTACGGGAACTCGCGCTACGTCATGTACAATCCGGCTTGCATGGACGAAAAACGAGGCCGGGCGATGGCGGAGGCTGCCGCCAGTGCCGAAAGCCACAGCACCGGTGACGGCAATCACGACGGCACGGTCTCCGCATCCAGTGTTGACAAAAGCCCCGCTGCCTATGCCCCCACTCCGCAAAAGGCAAGGCGGGTCTGCTTTGACGTCTACGATTGAGTGCGACCCCACTCGGGTTCTTGGAATTTGACCCTCGTGACTTTTGCAACGCGAGTGGCAGTTGGATGGGATTGCGGAGGCAGCAACGCTGAGACCGAGACAGTCCGAGAATGATGTGCGAATTATCTGACTACTGTGGGGTTGATTGGGCGGAGAGTAAAAACACATGCGTTTTGTTTGTAAGAAAGGCTACAGCCCGCAAACTGACATGATTTGCTTATACAGACAAATAAAGGTATCGAAAGTGTTGATCGATAAAAAAAGCAGATGCAGCACATTCTGCTCATGCCCGACGGCGCGGAGGTTGATCCGTCTGCCGTGCCGCCTGACGGTTCCCAGCGGACGCCTCCGCCTGCGCCGTATCCGTTTGAGCTCGACGATTTCCAGCGTGCTGCATGCGGCGCAATCGACGCCGGTCGTTCGGTCGTCGTGGCAGCACCAACATCGGCGGGCAAGACGCTGGTGGCGGAGCATGCGGTGCGTGCAGCACTCGGCGCCGGCGGCCGTGCCGTCTACGCATCGCCGCTCAAGGCGCTCTCCAACCAAAAGTACCGCGAGTTGGGCCGCATCTTCCCCGGCGAGATCGGGCTGCTGACGGGCGACCACTCGGCTGAGCCGCAGGCGGGCTGCCTCGTGCTCACGACCGAGGTGCTCCGCTCGATGCTCTACCGCGGCAGCGAACTCGGCGCGAGGTCCGCCGACACGTCCTGGACATGTCCGTGACACGTCCCTGACGTGCGCAGGCAGCGAGCTCGTGCGCGAGGTCCGCTGGGCCGTCTTTGACGAGGCGCACCTGCTCGGCTCTCCCTCGCGCGGCTGGGTCATCGAGGAGGCGCTCATCCTGCTGCCGCGAGCGGTGCGCGTCGTCCTCCTCTCCGCCACCATCCCAAACGGCGCGGCGCTCGCGGGCTGGCTGGCGATGCTGCGCCAGACGCCGTGCGAGCGCGTCCTCTTCGCGGCGGCCGGGTTGCATCTCGATGAGATATTGTGGAGCGGTCTCGTGTTGTAGTTGCGAGCTCGTCCACTCCGCGGCGCGTCCGGTGCCTCTCCGCCACTACGTCGCCTCCGCCCGCCGCCCGAGAGACCTCTTCCTCGTGCAGAGCGGCGACGGCGCCGCCTTCGACGCCGCGCGTTGGGAGTCGGCGACACTTCCTAGACACTTCCTAGACACTTCCTAGACACTTCCTAGACCCTTCGCCGCGCGTTGGGAGTCGGCGACGGGCGGCCCTCGCGCGTGACTGTCGTGGGGAGCGCGGCGTGGACGTGTCGCGGACGTGCCCCCGGTAGGCGGTGGAGGGGCTCTCGCCGCCGCGCGAGCCGTCGGAGGGGGGTGTGGGACGGTTTGCCCTCCCACGTGCCACGCCGGTGGAAAGAGGACGTGTCTCGTGTCCCGCGCGTCCGATAGGCGAGAAGAAGAGGACGCCGCAAGCCGCAGACCCGACAGCGCCGCCGACGAGGCGGCTCGAGCAGCGGTGTGCCGCGGCGGCCGAGCTGCTGTACGCCCTCGCAGGCGGCGCCGCGGGCGAGGCTTCCGCTCGCGGGGCGGACGGCGGCGGGGCGGGGGCAGAGAGCATGCTGCCGGCGATTGCGTTTTGCGCGTCGCGGCGCGCGTATTGCGGCGGTGGTGGCAGCTGCCTAGGCGCACGTCCACGTCCGTGACACGTCTAGACGGTTCCGATCACAGGCGCGAGTGCGAGGCGCTGGCTGCGATGCTCAGCCGCGGTCCCAGCTTGGTTGCCCCGTCACACGCAGAGGCGATAGGGGAGGTGATTGACGCCGCGTTGGGAGGTGTGGTGGGGAGAGGGAGCGAGGAGGAGGAGGCGTCGCGTCAGATCGGCGTCGCCCGCCCGCTGCTACTCTCCGGCGTGGGCGTGCACCACTCGGGGCTGCAGCCTGTCCTGCGCGAGCTGAGCGAGCTGCTCTTCTCGGAGGGGCTCCTCCCCCTCCTCGTCGCCACCGAGACGGCACCCCCACGACACTTGCACACGACACTTGCACACGCGTCCACATCGCCCCGAGAGACCCGGGGGACGACACTGGAGTAGGTCGCGATGGGCGTCAACACGCCGGCCCGCACGGTCCTCCTCACCGGCGGCGGATCCAAGTTCGACGGGACGCGGCAGCGGCTGATGCTGCCGACCGAGTACACGCAGATGGCCGGCCGGGCGGGCCGGCGCGGCAAGGACGCATTCGGCGCGTGTGTTCTGCTGGCGCACGAGTGGTGCTCGGCGGCGAGCGGCGAGGCGATGCTCTCGCGGCGGCACGCGCCGCTCCAGCCGTCGCACAGGCTTGCCGTTTCGACGGGGAGTTGGCGACGAGAGATGAGTAGTCACCCGTGGCCGCGCGCCTGTCTCCAGGATCACTGCTTCAACGGCGCTCAAGATGGCGCGCATCGAGGGCGCCTCCGTCGCGGCCCTCGCCACCTCCTCGTTCGGCGCGTGGCTCGCGTCGCAGTCCCGTGCGCGCGACGAGGAGCGGCGCGCGCGTGCCTCCTCGGCGGCGGCGCGCCTCGCCTCGCAGCTGGCGGAGGCTCCCGCCGCCGCCGCCGCCGCCGCCGAAGCGCTGCTCGACATGTGCGTCTGCGCGCGCGGCGCTGCTCCGCGAGGCGTCGCCTCACTCCCCTCCCCGCGACTCTCCAGGCGACTCCACCACCACGAACTCTGCGAGCGGCTGCGCGGCGAGCTGCTGCTCCGCGCGGTGCGCCGGCCGCACCCCCCCCTCCCCCCCCTTCACAAGGGGAGAGGCCGTCCTCGCCTTCCGACCGTGCTCCTCATCGCCTTCCGACCGCGCTGCGTGCAGGCGTCGCACTTGCAGCCCGGCCGCGCCGTCGCTGTCTGCGCCGGGGAGGGGGGCGGGGTGGCGTGGGGCGTGGTTGTCAGTGCGCGGGGAGGGAGGAAGCGGCGGGCGCCGCAGGGCAAGCGGGGAGGAGGAGAGGCGGAGGCGGGAGTGGAGGAGGGGCTGGAGGGTGTCGAGGAGGCGGAGGCAGAGGCGGAGGAGGCGGAGGCGGAGGCGGCCGAGGCGGCCGAGGCGGCCGAGGCGGCCGAGGCGGCCGAGGCGGCCGAGGCGGCGCTACCACGCCCAACGGCGGACGGCGAGGCGGACGGCGGCGACATCAGTAGCTCCGGCATCCCGACACGGCACAGCTACTCTTCCGTCCCCTCTGTTGGCAGCGTGCTGTTGCGTGTGCTGCTGCCCGCCGCCGCCGCCGCCGCCGTGAGAGCGGCGGCGGTGGCCGCGGACGAGACCCAAGGCGAGGCGGCGTTGGAGGCTGCGGTGGAGGAGACGCTGGGCCAGCCGAACGGCGCCGCCGAGTGCGACGTCTGTGACGGCCGGCTGTCCAGCGGCGGCGGAAGCGGAAGCGGCGCGGAGGAGCTCGGCGAGTGTCTGCAGCTGGTCTCCCTGCCCCTGTCGGACGTGCACCACCTCTCGGCAGTGCGTCTCTGGGTGCCGCGCGACCTGCGCTCCGAGCACGGCCGGCGCGCGACCGGCCTCGCCCTGGAGGCTGCCCTCGCCCAGTTCGACGGCGACTTGCCTCCGCTCGACCCGGCGAGACGCTTCCCCAGACACTTCCAGACACCTGCCCAGACACTTCCAGACACTTGCCCAGACACTTCCAGACACTTGCCCAGACACTTCCCCAGACACCTCCCCAGACACTTCCAGACACTTGCCCAGACACTTCCAGACACTTGCCCAGACACTTCCAGACACTTGCCCAGACACTTCCAGACACTTGCCCAGACACTTCCAGACACTTCCAGACACTTGTCAAGACACTTCCAGACACTTGCCCAGACACTTGCAGACACTTGCCCAGACACTTCCAGACACTTGCCCAGACACTTCCAGACACTTGCCCAGACACTTCCAGACACTTCCAGACACATGCCCAGACACTTGCCCAGACCCTAGACCTAGACACTCCTCATGCAGGCGCGCGACCTTTACGTCGGTTACCGCGCGGACGACGCCGAGGAGGCGGCGCTGCTCTCGCTCCTCGACGAGATTGCAGCTGTCGAGGCGCAGATTAATAATAATTAATTAATTAATTAGGCGGCGCTGCTCTCGCTCCTCGACGAGATCGCAGCTGTCGAGGCGCAGATCGTGGCGACGCCGGCGCCGGAGGGGTCCGCGGTTGCGGCTGCGTATCAGCTGTGCCACCGCCTGCGGCTGGTCCGGCTGGCGACTGCCGCGGCCGAGGAGGCGGGGGAGACGTGGCACTCGCTTGCGGCACTCGCCTGATTAATTAGTTAATCAATGTTTAATTAAATGATAATTGATTGCTTAATTAGGCACTCGCCTGCGGCGGCTGGCGGCTCGCTCGACGCGGCTTTCCGCTCGCTGGGGTGCGTCGATGCGAACGGCTTGCTCACCCTCAAGGGACGCGCCGCCGCGCTTGTCGAGGGAGTCAACCCGATGTTGGCCGTCGAGGTGCGCCCCTCCCAGGCCTTGCAAGAGCCCCCCCCCCCCCCCCTCCCTCCCCGACTGCTCTTCCATTTGGCCTGGCGCCCCCTCTTCGCCGGTAGGTGATGATGAGCGGCGCGCTGCGAGGGCTGAGCGAGGCCGAGCTCGCCGCCGCCGCCTCCTGCCTCCTCCCGCAGCGCGCCGCTGCCAGGAGCGCCACTTCGCCGGCGGGCGGCGAGGGCGACGAGAGGGCGGAGGAGCGGACGCGAGCCCGGCCCTGCCCCTGGCGGTGCTCGGCCCCCCCTCACCCTGCCTTCTCGCGCCTCTGAATAGGCCGCGGCCGAGCTCGACCTGCCCGCGCCTCTCCAGCGCGCGCTTGGTCAGATGCGCGGAGCCCGCGGGAGGGTGACCCCGCGCCACACCGACTCTGGTCCAGCTTGCGCGGTCCTGCTCCTCACCGACCTCACACCACCCTCTGCTAGGTGGTTGCCGCCCTCGCTCCAGTCTCTGCCACCGTCGGCGTGGGCGATGAGGGCGGCAGCGACGGCGGCGCCGCCGGTCCGCCTCCGATCGTCTCGGTGCTCCCCCCCGCGCGGCCCTCGCGCGGCCCTCGCGCAGGGAGAGGGCGGGTGGGGGAGGAGGTGGTCTTGCGCGTAGGCCCTCGCGCGTGCCACCCTCTCGTGGGCCTCGGGCGCCTCCTTCGTCGAGTCGCACCAGGCGTGTTTTGGCGAGGCGTGGGAGGGCGAGCTGGTGCGCGCTCTCCGCGCACTCGAGCATCTGCTCGTCGACCTCGCTGCCGCTGCGGAGGCGCTCGGCGACGCGGACTTGCGCTCGCGCCTCGAAGCGAGCGGACGCGCGTTGCACCGCGGCCTTCCGTTCGCGCCATCCCTCTTTCTCAATGGCTGAGAAGGGAGCAGATGGCGATGCGGTTATTTGGGTCTGCGCTGCGAGCGATAGTCTCGAGAGATAGAGAGGCGCACATAGCGCAGCTCGTGTGTTCTCTCATCTCTGCAGTGCGGTTGCGGTTCACCGGTTCTCGCCGGTCTTCCCCCCCTACCGGTTGTGTCCTCATGCTCGAGAAAAATACGACTTTGGAACTCCATGCGGGGTCTCTCAGCTCATGGCTCTGTGGACCGGCGCGGGGTGCGCGGGTGACGGTTGGGTCTCGCGCGGCCTCTCCGCGCGCGGTGGAGTTCCTGTTCGTGAGGCGCCCCCGACCGGGGGCGAGTTTCACATGAGCAGTGCTGCACACCAAACCGACAGTCGCGCGTGTAACACTTCGCCACGGCAAGAGCGGCGAAGCCTTACTCTCCACCCTCGTCCTCGAACCCGGTCCAGCAAAAGATTGGCACGTCTCCCATGTAGTCCACGAACTCCGAGTGATTCGGCTCGAGCGGCGCGCCGGCCGCGTCGATCACCTTTGTGAGGGTGTAACTCCCAAACTCGAGGCAAGCGGCCCGGCCGACGCCCCACTTGCAGGAGCGATTCCAGAGCGCACCCGGCTGCTCGCCCGGCAGCTGGTGAAGGCCAAACTTTCCAGTGATGCAGCCCGCCACCTGCATTCCTCCGTGCTGGTCGAGCGGGCCGAACTGCGCGCCGAGCGACGCGTCCTCGAGCGAGCTGTCTCGCCAGGCGTAGGAGAAGCACAGCCAGTCCTTGGCGGACCGGGTAGCAGGGTCTTTGGTGGCGCCGGCGTCACCGAGCAGGGTCTCCGCCGAGAGGTAAGTCAGGTCTCCGCCGTATATGTTACCGCCGTAGGGAGCATTGGCGGGCGTGCCTGCGGGCCAACCCCACGTCGCAGGCGCAAAGGGCACGAGCAGGAGCCGGCGGTCGGGGTAGTAGACGCCGTACTGCAGCGAGGTGAGCTCCTCCGAGACGCCGTTGCCGCGCATCCAGTAAACCCCGCGGATCTTCTCGGGCAGCAGATCCCAAACGCCGTCCACCTTGGTCGCCTCATACATGAACTTTGCCGCCTCCGCCGCGGGCGCCTGGCTGAAGACGCAGCCAGAGAGCTGAGGCGCGCCCTCGCGCCAGGGGAAGCTCTTGAGTGCCCCGCGGAGCGCAGGCAGCCGCTGCTGAGGCCTGGGCATGTCCCACCAGCCCATGCCGCCAGGGAACTGCTCCGCCACCGCGTCCGGCACGTTGGACGGCAGAGAGCAGCACCCGCCGCCGCTCTGCTTGTCCTGCTTCGCCTGCCGCGCCAGCTTGCAGTCGGCCATGGTGAGTTCCAAGGAGGACAACCCAACTCCCCTCTCTGACCTGTTCCCGCCGCCCCTGTTACGAATGAGGGTATCAAGCTACTCTCGTGAGCTGTGAACAGACGCACTTGCCTTCGGGGGCAAGTACCCAAATCTGCTAGGTTGGGCGTGCTTTCACAGCCTCACGAGAGTAGTATCAAGCGAACCAGTTTAGACCATGTTTAGACCCAGTTTAGACCACGGCTGAACACGAACCAGATTAGTCCTGTTTACGATAAACTGGGTCTAAACAGGGCTCGGCCTGGGTGGGGGACCCCATTAGCCATACCAGGTTTAGACCCGGTTTAGGGCGCCCCTAGCTAGCTCCGCCGCCGCGGCCGCGCTGTGGCTGCGGAAGCGGCAGCGTGCAGCCGCCATCCTCTGCCTCGGGCCGGACAGCACACCTGGCACACTTGCACCGGCGCGCAACAACAGCCTCGCCGATCAGGCGCACGGTCGGTGTTAGGGCGCGACGTCGGGCGCGGCGACAGACCAGCTGGCGGCGCCTGCGCCTGGCAAGAAGCGGAAGCGCGTTGATTTCAACGGCCGCAAAGGTGCTAGTAGAAGTGGTGTTGGGTTGAGCAGTGGTACTCACTGCCCCTCACCAGATGCTTGCAGGCGATGTTCCTGGCCTCGCTCCCGACGTACCGCGCGAAAGATGAGGGGACGCGCTGCGGCTTCTGCAAGCAGATCTTCGACACGGCGAAGCTGTCGGAAGAGTCCTCGACGCGGCCGCGTGGACCCTCAAGATTGCCATGCACAACCTCGACCAGCGCGAGAAGAAGCAAGGCCGCTGACGCTTGCGCGTGCCGCTGAGAGCCGCGTCTCTCTCAGAGCAGGGGAGCTAGGCGGGGGGGAGGGAGGTGCGTGCGCGCTACGCGGGGGGGAGGGGGGGAGGAACCCCATTAGCCATACCAGGTTTAGACCCAGTTTATCGTAAACAGGACTAATCTGGTTCGTGTTTACGAGTGGTCTAAACTGGTCTAAACTGGTTCGCTTGGGAACCCTCCTAGTCTTGAGGCTCGCCGCGAGCGAGCCGGGTCGGCAAGACCGACGGAGAGGACGTGGCCGGCGGCGGCGATGGCGAAGGCGAGCAGGAAGAGGATGAAGAGCAGAGAGATTTTTAGAAGCCAACAAGAAATGTGTCACACAGAGTCATCTCTTCTTTTTGAAGAGCAGCGTCTCAGAATGGAGGTTGGAGCACCAAACACCCTCTGTTTTCCCTGGAAATTTCCGGAAACGCAAAGTGCTGGGGACCCTCTGTTTTCCTTTTTGTTTTCCGGAAAACCTGGTTGAGCCCAACGCACCACAAAAGGCGGGCACAGCAGGCGACGGCCCCTATATGGGCCGTCGAAGAGGCCGACATACTCCTCCGGCCTCGCTCCCCCTTCCCTGGCTCAGGCTCCTCATCCTCGCGGCAGGAGCAGTCACACCACTCCCACTCCGGCGCCAACCCCGCCCAAAAGAAACACGAAATCTATATCCCGACACAGCTCCGACGTCTTCGCGACACAGTTTTCGACGCAGGGCCTGTCGAGATGCACCCACTTCTGCTCGGCCTGCTGTCTGGACTCGCCCTAGCCGAGGGCGGTCCCACTCCTGTCGTGGGCGACGCCTCCGGTTCGGACTGGGTGAACGCCTGCATCGACCTCGACTGGCACTCGAAAGAGGCGGCGCTCTCGGCGACGTCCAGCTTTGAGACAGCGGCCGGGGAAACCTCCCAAGCGTGCGGCGCCGGCCGCATCACGCTGGGCGTCCTGACCGACGTCCAGCGCAAGATCTACAACGACCGCGGCTGCTCCGTCGGGCCGCACAAGACCTCTTCCGCCTTCTACGACTATGGCGGCGGCGGCGCGGACAAGATGATGAGCGTCGAAGTCGCCGGCGCCGTCGCGGCCGTCTCGCGCGGGCGGCATGTGCCGAACGCTTCCGCGTCCCTCGACGACGACCCGTGCACGGAGGCGTTCAACAAGGAGAAGTGCTTCATGAACGTCTGCACGCGCGTGATCGGCGACTCTGAGCACGCGCTTGCGGCCTGCATGGACAACAAGTGGAGCGACTTCTCGCTCGAGGGCGGCTCGGCGCACGCGTGGTACGAGGGCGTCGCCCTCCTCTACCCGGTGGAGGACACGCTGCGCGCCCCTGGCACTTGCCGCGCCAACGGCGGCGAGACGCTGGGGGCCACCTGGCACTCACGCCCGACAACTGAGAGCAGCACGCTGGGCGAGAAGCTGCTGCGGACCGGCGCGCGCGACTTCGTGCGCGCCATCGTCGACAAGATCACCACCTTGATGGCGGTGACTCAGCGGGTCCCGCTCCGCTCTGAGCACAAGGGTTGCGCGTTCGGCGCGGATCGGTCGCAGGAGCACGCGGCAGAGGGCGCCGTCCTGGCGGCGGCCGTGCTGCCCTTCGTCCACAAGTGCAACCTCACCGCTGCCAAGACCATCAGCGACGAGATGAAGTTCGACCTGTACTTCCCAAAGCATTACCCGAGCGATTCTACGCTTGGCGCCGAGCTCTTTCCATCGGTGGGATCCCCCTGACTGGCCGCGCCGCGCCGCCCCGCCACCTGCGCCACCACAACCGCTCTCGCTGCCTCACACTGCTCACACACGACAGCCTGCCTCTCCTCTGCAGGCCCCGCCTCTTCCCGACGCACCCTCGACGGCTGTGCGCGCGATCATCAAGACCGAGGCGCCCACACCGGCTCTCTGCCCGCCGCCCCACAGCTGCCGACTCGCCGCGCCGCCATTTGCGCCACCACCCGCTCTCGCGCCGCGCCTCCACCGCCCTCGCCCCCTCCGCCCGCACCCCCTCCTCCGTCGCCTCCTCCTCCCGCACCTCCTCCACCCTCGCCCCCGCCTCTGCCGCCTCCGCCCTCGCCCCCACCGCCTTCTCCGCCGCCTCCTTCGCCACCACCGCCCCTGCCGCTTCCCCCTCCCCCACAAACAAACCGGCGTCTTCAACGGCTT